CGTAGCATCGTGTATTTCTTTCGGTTGCATCATTGATGAGAAGGATCAACGAATTCTCCCCACCTTTTCTCGGTACCTTAGCTCTCGATTCTTCGTACGATGTTTTACGCGATGACAGTGTTACACTGACGTAAATATTATAAAACAAGTTAGATAATCATTCAATGCATAAAAAAAAATTGATAAAAATAATATATTTAAAAAAATTTTAATTTAACTGTATTTATAATTTTTTAAAAAGATCGCTGCTTTAAGTATTTTTAACTCTAAGACACAAAAAATAAATTCTCCCCAGAAAAATAAAAATATTTTCTCAGCGATACATAGTAACTTATATGATTGTTTCTATTTAATAAGCTATTGTTATTAATTATTATATGATATAATTATTATATAGGTATGATATAACAATTTTCTATTTTACATTGTATTTTAATTTCTGCCGATTTTATACTACTAATTATAATTATACATAAAGATCTTATTCAATATAGATTTCTGGTAAGTTCAATCATGTAAACAGCTATTTGATATTTCTCATCCTTGGATCGTAATTTTTTCTAGCTATTCACATTTATCGCTCCCATACGTAACATCTCATCGACGGTGTGTAAATGGAAATATAATCATCCCTCCCTCTACTTCGTGGTACTGTGCATAATTTCGTGTTTCGACCTCGTCAATGTCGCGGACCGTATCGCCGCCTGGACCACGTAGCAGCCGTAACTCAGTTTCCAAACGGATCGTCTCCTAGGAATACTTTATGCGTACTACACGTCATTCTAACCGCCTAGTTCGAAAAGATGGAGGTTGTCGTGGATGGGGTGGATGGGGCGGTAGGGACCACGGAAGACACGGATCCTTAAGTATTCTACGCGTCGTGCGGGACTAGTGCATCGGTCTTAAGATGGCGGCAAGGGAGGAGGGTTCGCGAGATAGGACTGCGCCGATACCCTTTCGCTGGGAGAGGAAACGGCGGTAGGAGGTTCTTGGGTAATCATATAAGGATAGCTAGAGTCGCGCGAGGAAGATCAGGTATCAACTTTTGATCCTCCGATATCTCCGGCAGCCTGGCGGGCCCCTTCCAACCAAGGAGGAGTGTGTCTGTATTCAAACGGCTCTAACTCGATATAAGCGATGCTCCCAGAGGCATCCTTCCGCTGAGAAGAACGGAGAGGATGAGTTGGAGGACACCAGACCCTCCCTACCTTGTCGCTCACGCCCACCCCCTCGGATCTTCGGAAATAAGAGTATCCCGTATAGCCGGTGCCTCCAATCGAATTTACATCCCGACTGCTTTACTCCTATCCCCGAAGACGCGGGGGTGGATCCTCGACTTCGCCAAAGTGCTATCTACTATGATCCCGCATAGATGCAGGCGTGTAGCGACCACGAAAATGGCACTGTGGTCCACTATGGCATTTTCAAGCAAACGCGATGAAATATCGAATGGAGACGGATGTCTTTCGATAAACAGTTTCTCAGAGAATAACTGATACATATGTTAAGTATAAAAATATAAAAATTTACTATAGTTTTGGAGAATCTGTTTTGTGCACAATAAAACAAATATATTATAGATAACAATTAGCTTAAAAACTTAATTGTTTATATTGAAATTATGAGATTATAAAATTTGTTTCTAAATTACTTTGTAACTGTTGCAATGATAAAATAAATTAATAACTTGATTGTTAAATTTTGAGTTACCGGATTATATATTGAGCCCTATTTAAATAGCAGTTATTAAATTTTTAGATAATATAATCCTAATATTATTAGTATCAACAATATATTAATATTAATTCTCATTTCAGAATAAAACATTTATAATTGTTTTGCTTCTTTCTTTTTTCTTAGACTTATCGATAATAACTTTCAAATTGAGATGTTTGCAAAATAAAAGTTTTAATTTTATTAAGGTTGTTTATTTTGTATTAGTAAGTTATTAACTGTAAATTAATTTTTATTTGTTTGTTTATTCATTTTTATTTATAATTTAATATAATTTATAATAGTGAAGATATCTATCTTAACACAGATGATAAAAGAACAGACTGTATTAACAGTAGACGGATAAAATGGTTTCTATATGTATCATCAACTAAATGGTAATTATCATCGACTAATAAAATAGAAATATGCGTTACAATTATCTTTGTTATTATTTACAAAAGAATTTACATAAACAACTGTTAAAAGCATAAAATTAAAATGTAATATATATCTCTGATTTTCTTTGATCCAATTTTATATCCTTATTGATTTGTGAGTTTTGTATTAGAACGTGCAAATTAATTTTTATATTTAAATATAAATTATATAAAATAATTTATTATTGAAAAATATACAAACATTATATATTACAGATAAATATATATTTCTCGAGCAATTTTTGTTTAAATATTAAAAATAAAATTTAAGTATTTAAAATAGAAATATAACATCCAAACATATATAATTTTGTTAAGAAAATTATGCTCTCCATCTTTATTTTGTAAGATCTGATTACCAATAAGATTTTTCTAATTTTTTCATTTTCTTCATGTTCTCACTATTAATGACTATTAATGTTAATATTCTATTTTTTTACAAAATACTTATTTGTTTTATTGCTAAAAACATAAAGGTTGCAAATACAATATTACTTTTTAATTTTCATCCTTACCATAAATGTGTAATTTTTACTATGTATTCTCATAAAAATTTGCCTATACAAAACTCAAATAAATTTATTTATAATTTTTGTGCAAATAAAAAAAAATTTTTTAAAATACACAATATAAATTATAAGTAATTTAAAATGTTCTCTGTTCATAATTTATAGAAAAACATCTCATGAAAAATTCTTTGGCAATTAAATTAATGTAAGAGCATTTTTAAAGAAAATAAATTGGTAAATTATAGACATTAAATACGCTATATAATATTTCTAAGTACACTGGTAATTGTTTGGTTTAACGTTCTCTATTTTATTCTTGATCCATAAACCTATCTTTATTGCAAGCTATAAGGAAGGTAAAAGGTTATTAAAAATGAATACAATTAAAACGAGAGTCAAGTATATTGTATCATACTTTAATGTAATTTCTTACTCAAGAGTACGCCGCAACGGCTCGCGAGGATCTTCTGCTCGGAATTTCTTTATTTCGCAATTTATATTACTATAAAATAGTTAGAAGCCAGAGATTTCGCATTACATATTCTCGCGACATTTCTCGCAGCTCTCGAATATATCTGGAAAGATTATTAATTGCGCTGTTACTTTCGTCGATGAGAAGGAGCCAATCCGACGCAACGAATGTGCATTTTAAAATTGGATTGGCTACAAATATATAATATTCGGGCGGAAGAAAGCCCGAAATATAAAATATTAATAATTTTACAGATATCAATTATATAATTGTAATAAACTATGCTAATAATACTATAATATATTCAGCTATAATAATCATACTAAATATATTTAATACGATATTACTAAACATATGCAAACGTAATAAAATTTTTATTCACGACATTCGCCTGTCGTTTAAGTTAAAGAGAAATATTCAGATTTCTTAGAATGCTTCGATATACTAATCCTCAATTTCGCGGCTCTCTCCCACTTCTCGTCTACTTAATTAAAGATCGCTTTTGTTTTTATCTATATTTAATAACGTTAATCGATAATATTTTAATCATATCAACACTTTACTATAGCGTATCTTCTTAACAAAGACATTTAATCGTCATTTTGGTGAAAAAAGATACATTGATAAGTGTCATCTGATATTCATTAACATTGATCAATTGTTATTGTTCACGAATATATATTCATAGAGAATAGCATGTTACTTAATAAGTATAATCAAAATCATTCAATTCAAATTTTTTAAGCGTGATAAAAATAAATCTGATTACGTCATTAAAATAAAATATAATTTCTGATTACTTTTTGATAATGATAGTCATGATATTTTACATATTGTTTCTCGCATATTTTTGATGTATAACAATTTAATTCTAAATAATATTTAAAAATTGCCACTTGTCTTTAAAGCATTTGTCAAATAAAAAGATTACTTATCAGAGACACTTACCTTTTTGATAACAATTTCGCAACTATAATGTTAATTTTTATGGGTAAAAAGATATTAATATGTATATATCGTTTCCATAAAGATTCTATTAGCACAATTTTAAAATTATTCGCGATGAGCGACGATTGTTTCAAGATCAAGAAGAGCGCAAATCTATTCAACAAGTTAGAAGAAACTAGATGTCAGGACTAATTACAAGTCATAATTGTCTATTATATCTATAATATCAATAAAATAACTCGTTGTAAAAAGTAATAATATTGCAATATAAAAGTTTAAAAACTGTGAACAATTTAAAAATTATGAAAAATTACAAAATTATAAAATTGTACAGAAAATGAAAATGCCGTATCGTCTGACGACAAATTTTCTACATTTGCGTGCTTTTACGCGAGAAACACGAGAATTCATATGTTCATAATTCTGGATGAGAAAAGGCTGGATTTATATCTCTCGCCCAGAATTTATAATACTTGCAGTCTCTCTGAAAATATCACTTTCAAGTTTAAATAATGAAGATAAACTAAAAGAGAATAATACATAAGGAATAATTAAATTTAATTGCATTTACTAATGGAACATTTGACTGTTGGATTTAAAATATTAAATAGCTTCAATAAATTAATTATGATAAGTTATAATTTCGATTGTTTCTTCATCGATTATTAAACGTATTCTGGAGAGAGATTTTGTACATATCCCTTTTATTTATGGATATCTTAAAATTATATTCACTTTTTAATAACTGTGGAAATTATATTATATAGAATGCTCAATTATGACATTGTATAATGGTATTTAAATTATAGAAGAATAGAAATTATAGAATTTAAATTAATTATAACGTTGATTTAAAAGAACGTTGTTCTAACAAATGGCAATGAAAATTTTAGTTTACAGAGAAAAAGTTTCGCGAGCAGAATATACCAGATTCCTATAGATTAAATCTAAAGTTTAATATTTTGTTCCAGCTCGGTATAAAATTTTATTTGGAGCATCCGAATATATAACGCAACGTTTTAATTAACATACACGCGAAAGTTTCCTTAACAATTCAATTATTTATCTGGCAAGCTTAGCAATAAATTATTTGGCACTTGACCCTCTTTGAAATCCCGGTTAGTATATCGCTAAGCTTTTTTTTAATCCTTCATATAAGTACGATGCTTTCTTCTGTTCATACCTTAATCTAGCATCACCTAGTTCGAAGTGCGCAATGTAATTCAGGCCTAACTTCGTTTATCGTTTACATCGCTTACAATTACACGTTGCGAGAGGTCTCCTCAACCTTTTTGTTAATTATTTCACAGAAATCTCATTTATATGTATAACAAATAGAAAATTCGCCTAGATTTTGCTTTGTAATGGCACTCGTTTCAGCGCTGTGCACGTTTTGGTTGAGAAAACCTACTCGCCATATTATTACTCGCGTCTCCTCAACTCAACGTAGAGTTCTCAGTAGGAGGGGGGTTCATTTTAGAAAACTTAATCGAACACATATTCAACTGCGTGACATACATGTAAAGTCTATACATAACGTCATGCGAAATTATTTCCATCGCCTGGACTGTCCTTTTATTCAGCTGCGCGTATTTACTGTTCAACAATTGCATTTCGCTAGATTTAAGTAAATATTAATAATGAAACATGTAGTAAATATAATATGTATATATCTATATACAAACACACAAACATATGTGTATGTATATAGACTTCATATACACCGCGCTTATCGACGATTCGATTAGATAATACCGATACATTTATCCGATGATGGATGACCGAACGGGGTACGAATGCGGTGCGCAGGCTAATTATTAATTAGGATATCCTATTATAAATTTTTTGGCGCTGTTTTGGCATAATTTAAATTCGTCCGATTTTTGAGCCGTACTTCATCATCGTTTCTGAACGCAATTTTTAACAATACAAACGTGCGAGTCGTTGCGCCACTACTGTAATACAGAATAAATAATTTACAAAAACTTACTTCGCATACGATATTATAAATTTATCGATATTTATACTGTATTATCATGAGACAAACGTGTTTGGATAATATCTGGATAATAATTCATATATCATGTGTCAAACCTGACGCATTTATTCGATGAACACGGTTGAGCAAATAATCGTACAAGAGTCAGATAAATTACTTGGCAAGAGAAAATACGTATAATATTTGTATGAACTCGATGGAGACTCGCGGAATGCAAAACAACGACTCAATTTTCCTGTTATCCGGTATTCGATCTCTATTGTATTATCGTTGCCGCGCTGGTTTCAGTCTCGCTAATTTTTGCTTTTAACGCAAATGTTGTGCAATTTTCGGAAGATATTGACAAGTCGACGTCATCATCTTCTGAAATGTATGGCAGAGCGGGCTAACAAGGGGCCGATTTTTTCGAAATCTTCGTCTACCGGTCGTTTGCTACTGTATGGAACACACAGTCAGATGATGCGATAGAGCGTGGTCCAATAGAATAGGAGTGCCTGCAGCCAGTTCTGTACCGGCGTCAGCGCAATCGTCGTCGCAATCAAAGTAGTTGCTCTGCAAGAAAAAACAGCAAGTATCATTAAATTGCAATAGTGCGATAGTGAAGTATTCGAATTTAATTCAAGTTAATCAAATAGAGTCCAAATATCAGTGTTATTAATAATGTATTATTAATAAATTAATATATTTTCTTTTTTATTATAAAATTATTTAATTCTTTACACACATATACATATAAAATATATATTTTACGAGATATATTTGTATTATTAACATATTTTAGCCTGTATATATTAATTTGGAAAGATTAATTAATGATTTTTAATTTTTAGAGTAAATATTTATTTATACATATATTGTTAACAAAAAAATTTATAATTGACAAAGTTTATAGCTTTTACATTAACAGTCTTACAATCTGACGGAATTAAATCAGAATTTTCCGTAACTAACGAACCTAGAAGGGCAAGCCAAAACGGAGCAGTAAAAAAGGTTCGTTCCGCGACGAGTAATCCGTAATAAAATTGTCCAATTAGTACACAAACTAGCCAATATCAACTTTATTTGTGTGAATGCAGTTGACATTATTTTGTTTGCAACAACTACATACACGATGTAATTGCCTTACAAGGAAAAAGAATAGACTGTGAATATTAATTAAATCCGATATTTCTTGATCGATTAATATTTCCAATAAAATTCTATATTGTCAATTTGCAATATGGCTAGCATACTTACAAGTAAATGCGACAAACTATATAAGATCTTGTAAAAAAATCTTTTAAAAGTAAAATAACTATCGTTAGAAAACTTGCTACGTAATATTTGTTAAATATAAAAATTATGAGATTATATCGATTGATCTTCGTATATTTATTTATTCAAATAATCTTTAATTGAATCAGAGCTTTTAAGGTATAAATTGCAAATTAAAAATTTATTAACAAATTTTATTTAAAGTAATGTTTTGAATAATCAATATATCAAGTTTGATATACCGTATATTATGATGCCGTTACATCATAAAAGATTGTAAAAAAATTATAGTAGAGCATAATGTATATGTTGTCATATTGAGCATTAATAATAAATGATTACCTGGCAATCGATGCACCGGCAACTATCGGTCAGTGAGCAAGTGAGGCCAAGGATCTCGACAGCTTCCTTGTAAAGTTCGGCGCTCGACTTCCTCCGTCTTGGTGGTGACGTGGGTGCACTGACTGTGCCGGTGCCCGATGGTCTCCTGCTACTCTTCAACCTTGACGATGATTCTCGAGACAAGGAGGAGGTTGACGTTGATCCCCTCGGCCGATTGTCGCTCGTGAGTAACGCTCGACCTGCCGGAGATGCGAACAGCTGCAGCATGTCCATGTCCTATGGTCATATATTTTATTAATAATTAGACGTTACAGTTGCAGTATTATATTGCGCATTATATGTTCAATACATCAATCTCATGACATACAACATTAATAATACAACATTAATAATAAATTATAATAGAATTATATTTTTTATTATATAAATTTACGCATATAAAAAAGACATTATGCATATATCAAAGTTATATCACATATAAGTTTTTTGTTACTTATTTTATGAACTTTAAGTAATTTCAATAATAATTTAAAATCTCAATCAAATCTCTTAAAAAATGCGTTTAAAATGCGTTTAATTGTAAAAAATATTAATATAATACGATTTTGTATTACATAAATTACAATGCACAACAAAACTTATTAAAAATACTGCTTGTTATAGAATCATAGAATACTGTGTACCTAACAAAATAACACTTTCAACGCGGATTTTCTTTTCTAGGATTCTATTCGTTTTGGAATAACCTCTCTTATTCGGAACACACTCTTAGGCAAAAGACTTTTCTCACAACACAGCATAGGCACTAGGAATATTATTAATCATAAAAAACGTCCCGTATCTCAGAGATGGAAAAGATGTTATTAAAGTTGTTACGTTAACCGTTCAATCTGTCCATGAATATTATTTTTCATTTACTTTCTACAATAAAAATGTATAAGGCTAAAATCGTAATGATATCTTCTTAAAAACAGAAGTTATTAAAATTACGTTATTAGAAAAGATTGTATAAATGTCTCAATTTTTATTTTATATTTTAATAGTAGTCATCTCGATGCATCTTTGATTATTTTTGAATCGAATAAATATAAACGAAATTGTATGACTTAATAGTTAGATAAATAGAAACAAATACCACGTGTGTGGTAAATAAATATTTATATTTTAATAAAGACAAACATGTTTCACTTTAACCTTTTCTAAATAGTTTCCCTGAATATTTTTCTTAATGTAATCGATATTTCGTATTTAATGACACATCGCTACTGTGTGGATGTAATGGCAATATCAAATAGTTAGGTGTGAAAACATGTTCTTATATTAGACAACTTACTGTCTAGCGCAATATAAATAATTGCAGTCAAACTTATAAAAATTATAAAATTAGTCAAGGCATAACAAAAATAAAGAGACATTTATACCATATACACGGAAAATGGACTGAAGAAGATCGCTTAAAATGGGAAAACGACAATCACTTGTTATGGAAATATTTTGACAAAGTAAACATATACAAAGCAAAATGTAAATTTTGTAAATGTATTCGTCGTGAAGCATATATACCACGTCTAAAAGGGCATCTACAAACATTGCACATTCAAGAAATAAAAGCTGTTATACACGAAGAAATTGCAAATAAGTCGCTATCGCAAAATTTCGAAATTTATGAGGAAAAATTAAGGGCACGGTGTAAATGTTGCAATGATCAAAAGGACATATTTTACGGAACAGATGCCTTAATACATCACATGCAAAGAAATCACGGTCTAAGATATCGTAATCAACTTGAAGATAATAACGTGAACAGAATGACACAACAATCTACAGCCGATGAAAATGCAAATACAAGCTCCCATCATGATGATATAAATAATTGGCCTAGAGATCGAGAAAATCAACAAAAGTAACTGTTATGTAATAAAAAATTTTAATGTTTTATTTTTCTTAAGTTATTAATGTTATATATACTTTCAATACAAATTAAAAATTTAGTATATTACTTATTTTAATTTATTTAAGTTTGTTACAATAAGTATAACTAATGTTATAATAATCATATAATAAAAAATCAAAAAATGTTTTTAAACTTATAAGCTTGTATTAATTTCAAATGTTTTTTAACTTTATTATCAAGTCAAAGTTGATATAATTTATAATATTAATCTTAATGTGAATGTTTGACAACAAATTTTAATGCATTTCTTCACCACGCTTATTAGTTTTTTTTTTAAGTTTGAGATATACTTTGAAACTTTAATATAAACGTTATTATTAAAATTGCACGGCTCTGTGCGCCGAAAATTCGCTTGCATCTTTTATTTCAAACTGTTCTCGTAACAATCAAACTTATGTATTTGAAGAAAAAATGTAGTCGTACACAATCTGTCTCATTCCTTATAGTTAGAAATAAATTGCAGACACATCATGAATATGGTACTACGTGCGATGTTTTCCAAGGGAAAACTTTTCATGCGTAAAATAAAGAGATGTATACTGAAAGTCTAAACGTAGACTCATATGATGATGATTTAAAGAGCGATTTTCTTAATTACAAGCGGATCATTAAAAATTGCTGCTAAAACGAACATATTCACAAAATAAACGTGCTTCTTTATTGTAGGTGCCCGAATCGTTTCACTGGAAGGAAATAATTGGGAGCACGAATAATTGAATTCAACTTGAAAAGTTGAAGAATTTCAAACAAAGATATGTCAATTCCCATTTTAGACGTGAACAATTTTCCACTTTTGCGAAACTTCGCAATTCTTGCGCAAGTACCATTCCATCCGTGCGTCGGAAAAACCATAATTACGCCTTCTGCGCTTTTAACCATTATCTAGCTATGCTCAATACTTGCTTACTCGTATTTTCGTTCGGAAAGACTTTTCATCGAGTTTGCTGAAAATCTCATTCAAACTAGTTACCATCAACGAAACCGAGACGAAGCAGCGCGGTTTTAAAAGCATTTTCAATGCGCAGATCGCCGCTTGCAAGTTGTTACACATTGTGAACTTCTGCCGAAAATGTAAGATATACTTTTGGCGAATGCAACGAGTTTCGTCTACCAGCACAGTCGAAGCAGCTTAAGCTCTTCGCTTAATGTATCTCAACTTACGAAGGGTTTAAGAAGAGAAATGGAAGTCCTCGTAAAATTCAGCAGGATGCTACATAATGCAACTGGAATTCGTTAAATTATTTTATTCAATATCGCAGAACCCCTACTAAAGAAGCGAACATAATAAATTCTTGAAGTAATTTTATTGTCGATATGAGCTAATTAAGTAATCTTACGCGGTTAAGTATAAATTATTTAATTGAATTAACTGACAACTCAATGTTAATTACAAAAGTTATATCATTGAAAGAGTACGAAAAATCATTTTAACAGAATTTATATATATTGCTGTATCTGTAAATTTATATTAAATATTATATGTGCAGAAATTAATATTACAGATTTTAAAAAATTAAATATATTATTATAATATGATTAAAATATATATCGCTCTCTGTAAATTGTATAAATTTAATTTAATATTATAGACTGTGAGCTGGCATTCAATTTTGATTAATAATAATAACTCAGATTAAATTGCATTGTGCTGGTTCATGGTGAACCATACTCGAGAAAGTCACTCAAGCGATTCCTTTGTCAGTAGGAAACGCATCTTTGTCCTTCCGTTGTGTAGAGTCTCAGAGAAATGCTATTAGCGCAACTTTAACGAGATACATTACTGTCACAAGAAACTTCAATAGAGGCATACAATTATCATTTAGCGTTGTTTACTGCGTCTGGACGGAATCATAATTGATTATAATTTAATTTAAAATATTTGATATTATATGTTAAATATCTTATGCAGCAAAGCAGAAAGCACACGTTATATCTATTTGATAATGTATGCATTAAAAATCACGTAATAATATAAAATAATAAATCTTTTACAATAATATACAGAGTGTTTGGAAAATAATGATAAATCTTTCGCATGAAGCCAGAATGGACTAACCTGTGAAGAAAAGTCCTCTACCATTTTGCAATTTTTACAATAGTTAACAAGATATTAATTGCTAAAAATTGCCGAAAATTGGTCTTCAATAATTTTTTATTCAAATACTATCAACTTTACAGAAAAACTGCAAAAGATAAAAATTGTTTATTTTCTTCTCATAGAACTCTACGAATTTTTTAAAAGTTTTTTATTAACTTTTTAGTACTGCATTTTTACCAACATGAGAAAATACGGTATTAAAAAAATTCTGAAAAAATTGTTAGAGTTCTATGAGACGAAAGTAAACAATTTTTGTCTCTTGCAGTTATTTTGTAAAGTTGATAGTATTTGAGTAAAAAATTATTGAAAACCAATTTTCGGCAATTTTTAGCAATTAATATCTTGTTAACTATTGCGAAAATTGCAAAATGGTAGGACTTTTCTCCTCAGTTTAATCCAAGTTTAATTCTGCCCCTATGCAAAAGATTTATCATTATTTTCCAACATTATGCAAAATATTATATACAAGGTTGCATATTACACAAATTTATAATCACAATTTTCATAGAAATATCATTAATTCGCGCAGCAAATATTTCAATATTAATGTATTCGCGAAAACTTGCTGATTGAAGAAAAGCTGAGAATTGTAACAAATTTTTATAAGCAGATTTAAAAAGTTGCTACACAATCATCCTTTTACGATTCAAAGTTTCTATCTTTTCCCATTTCCAATGTTATTCGGTATGGAAGACAGATGAAAGCAATGCTCTTAACCCTTTATTGTGACCGATCAATTCTGCCTGAGTCTCCGTGTTGAATGATTATATCTCGGGAAACAAAAACTTTTTCTTTGGCTATAGCCATTTTTCTTTTCTAGCACGATCTTTATCATATTCAAGCGATATCTGAAAAGAACGTCATCTTCAAGATGGTTGACGAACAAAAGAGGTCGATGGAAAATGGTAAAGAGATCAAATGGTGAACGATAACAAGCGCCAAGCTGATTCAATGTATCTAGTGTACAGGGGAAGACAGTATTCCAGGTCGATCCCTCGGGACGCATATCCCTTCGGTCTTAGTATTTTCTGCTGCTCGTGAACTTTTCTCGAATCCTTCAACGCTGATAGATAACCAGGTCGAAAGGGCGGACTTGGATAGAACGACTGACGAAGACTTTTTGCCGCGAGGAACAGGATTTTGCGGAGAGAGTTTATGCAATGGGGAAAGAAATAATTTTTACCTGAGGTTGAAAAATGTACTGCAAGATATAGCTTCCTTTGT